AAGTTTTTGACAGTCTTTATTTATAAAATAAATCTGTTATAAAATGTACCTAAGACTTTGAACACTCTTTAAATGCATTTGTCCTATTTTGGTACCTAGCTGACGTGGCTCGCTCCATGGGGGCCAAGGTTGTGATTGCAATTGATGTTGGGAGTCGGGATGAGACCAACCTGACCAACTACGGCGACTCCCTGAACGGTTGGTGGCTGCTGTGGAAGCGATTCAACCCACTGGCTGAGAGAGTCAAGGTACACTGACCTTTGCCGTAAATGTCAGATCTCCTCTGTAGTTGCCCGTTTCCTATAAAAAACTACAATTACCACTTTGCCGTTGTATCCCTCCACCAATCAGCCAAGTTGCAGGAAATATGGTCACAATCTCTCCTTCCTGACGACCTTTGACCGTTTGGATATAAAATGTTATCACTTCATTTTATCCTTATAGACGTTTGTGGTAAGTTGTATCATAATTAGTGTATGAATTTGTGAGTTATGGCCAAAAAACGTGTTTTGTGAGGTCACAGTGACCTTAACCTTTGACCTTTGACCACCAAAATCGAATAAGTTCATCCTTGAATGTTTGTGCCGAATTTGAAGAAGTTCCGTCAAGGCGTTACTGAGATATCGTGTCCACAAGAAGGACTGAACATCAGTAACAGCTTTTACAACATTGCTGAATTAATATTCCTTCCAGGTCCTGAACATGGCAGAGATCCAAACTCGGCTCGCATACGTCTGCTGCGTGCGGCAGCTGGAACTGGTCAAAGACAGTGAATACTGTGAGTACATTCGACCGCCCATCGACCACTACGGCACACTAGAGTTTGGCAAGTTCGACGAGATCACTGTGAGTTTGACTTCTGTTCCTCAACACCATTCCCCACGCCTCCTCCACGGCCTTGCTTTTTGAATCTCACCCTAACCCCTCCCTCACTGTCGCTTGCAGGAGGTAGGATACCACCACGGGAAAACACTGTTCGATGTGTGGCAGCGCAGCAGGGTGGTGGACAGCATGCTTAAAGACAGACATCAGGAAGAGTTCCACAAAACCAAAACCGGCCATGTGAGTCAAATCTACAGACACTACTGACCAGGGAGGAGATTTTAAAGCCGTTATCAAGTTGTTCTGTTTAATTTGACTTCAGACCAAGGCTGGACAATCATCAGTATCAATGCTCGGATCTTTGTCTGTCATCATTTATTTTTAATGTTAATGTAGGTGATCTCAGCAGCTGTCATTATAATGTCTTTTTATTTTTTATCATAGTAATTTTAAGCTGTGTTCAAATTTCACTCTATGAAAAAATGTTATAGAAAACATATAAAAATGGCTAAATGGCTAACCGAGCTTCGGACCCAGTTTCTGATTTTTGTTTTCACTTTCTATGTATGAAAACCACATTAAACAAAATAGTAATCGGAGTATTTTTTACACAGTTTAAAACATGTCTGGAGAGGAAGTTTTAAATTCTACTGTTTTATTGATGCCAGTTGATGTCTGTTCTAAATGTATAATCAAAAAGAGTTGATGAAGTCATCACTGGAATGATGCTGTGTGTCTTTCAGGTGGTCACCTGTCCAAACGCCTCTTTCACCGACCTGGCGGAGATTGTGTCCAGAATAGAGCCTGTCAAGAACGCCTTAATTGACGGTTAGTTATCAATAACTAAATGAGATCATGAACCAAAAAATGTCATATACATATATGTGTATATATGTAGAAAAAAAATCTTAATATAAAAGGTTGCTTTTGATTTGTATTCTGCAGGTGTAGACATACAGTAGGTCCGAGCGGTGCATATTTTAGAAAATCTCTAATACACCGACAGGAACCATTAAATATGTGTGAAGCCCGATGTTGAGATCTGCAGTGTCAGCTACATGTCTGTAACTTTATGACCATCCTAAAATGCTGTGGGTGGGGATGTTGTCTCCTGTCGTCCACCTTCAGAGGAGCTGTCTGATGAATACCAGACGGACTATGACGAGGAGGCGGTGGAAAGCGCAATGTCCGACTTTGAGGCGTTCACCCCCGGCAGTGAGCAGACAGAGGGAGAGGAGACGGCAGACACTGCTGAAACAGTATGTATACGAACAAAGCTGTGTACGTGGTTAAGATGAATGTAAACAAGGTCGGGCACAGGGAAAGGAGGAGGTCTAGGAAATGAGGAAATCTAATAAAGGTAGAAAGCTGCTACTCCTGGGCTCCTTTATCTGTGTATGTTTGCACTCTTAGATTCAGATGAATCTTTTCTCCCTTATTTATTATTATTTAGCACTTAGAAATTTGTTTTGGTCAATTTTCATTTAGTGTGATTATGTATATGTTTGTTTTTTCATTTTGTTTTTTATTTCTCCTTTTTTAATTTGTTTATCTTGGATAATGTTCAACTCCTAAGGACAATCCTTATACCTTTATATCACCTATTTTATACCTGTGAATGTACATTAATTGCACTGGTACAACAGTTTACTGTTCCTTTGGCTCAATAAAACATATATGAAAATAAATACATTAATGTGAACAAAAGGAATAAATAAAGCTTGTGTAAAAGTGAAGCTTTATCATCACTCATCTTACAAACATACGAAATAACTAAAAGCCAGTGATAATCCAACTTTCCTTTTTGTCTTTTTTACAGGATGAGGAGATTCACATCCGAGGTTGACCCTGGATGAAGAATACTCCACATAATCCTCGGCCACGACCTCCATCAAAGCTACGCCGACCTGTCAGGGCTGCTAACCATGGTCCAAAACACACACATGTTAATGCAGTATGCCCAGTAACCTTTGAGAAATGCACTGAGTTTGCATTACAGACATGTCGCAGCCAGGTAGCATCCTCAGTGACAAGGACACTTCAGCAGAACACAAAACTGTTGATGGATGCGGTGAGTTGATGTAAGCATCAAACCTGCTAGTAAAAGGAAATAGTTTTAATTGGGTGAAGACCCTAAACGTGTCTTGTTGCTTCGTGGACTTTGAGTTTCAGTGATTTAAACTTCTGCTTGTCGTGGACTTCCTGAGACATCAGGCATCTGGGAGATGTGGGGGAAAAAAATCAAACAGCTCCATCAGTTCACACATTGATGAAGCTGTATGATAGCCTTAGATTGGTAACTTCACACAAGCATGTCATGCACAAATGCACTACAAAATGCACTACAGTCATTCAGCATAAAATTTCATAATATGCTGGGTCACTTTTGTGGACAATTTTCTGTATAGCTGGTTCCAGCCATAATAAGCTCAGATTCATAAAGCTCTATAGTGCACTTCATGATGTTTACAAATAAGCTAAAAACATGTTAATATGTTTTTTGTGCCTACAGTGCGCTTCAAGTACAGTGTTACCCTCATGTCTGTATGATGATGAAAGGACCTCTCCTCTATCTGCCTATTGTAGGTTTGACAAGTGTAATGTGAACGGTCACTAATAAACTTTTCCTCATATCCAACGCACAGCCAGATGTATATCACGCATGTATTTCTCACAGCCTCCATGTCCCCACATCAGGTCTATTTTCAGCATAGAAACACTTAATTTTACAGTTCCGTATTCCATTTTCTTTAAGGCAAATATTTTAGGTGTTTCCAATATTATACTAAATCACAAACCACCCGATTTTTTGACTCTGTATAACCCAAGAAACTTGACATACACTGTCATTGTCCCGCACGGGAAATTAGGAGCTACTCAAAGCTGGAAGAAATTAAGAACAAAAAAAAAAGAAAAAGGAAAAATATGTGTGAAATCTTGCAGTATTCTAAAGTCTCGGTTTTATTTACAAACATCAGCACACAACCTTTATCATTTCAACTGACTTGTAGTGAAGATACAGTCAGCGGTGGTCTACATTAAATCTATAGACTCTGTTGTAAAATTATGTCCCAATATTTAATGTTATCATTTTCAATATGATTATTGTTATTTTTTTATTAGTAGGTTATTAGTAGTAGTCTTTTATTAATATGGTTGTACAAGAGGAATACCAAATAATGTGTTGTATGACTTTTCTGTGATGGATAAAACAGGAAATTTCCATTATGCTGAAGAGCTAATTTTCATTGAAAAGTACAAACAAGTAGGTGAAGAGCTTAAACGTAATGATCTACTCATGAATCTGTTGCTCATAGATTGTATAACTTGCACAACAACCACAGTGAAGATGAATGGGGCAATGTATGGAGAGATCTTTTACCTTTTATTACAACAAGAGTATAGAAAATACTAGTTATAACAAACGTAGCTCTGTGCCTTTATCTGACATCATGCAGTTAAAATTACTGATTTGAACAATTATGAAGCTACCGCTGGTGTTACATACAGTACTGCTGCTGTACGGTAATTTAACTGACTGAAAATAAAAACGACTTTTACATTCAACAAACTGTTGTGAATTACATCACAGATAAGAATCACCCACTAAAGCTTTTAGTATTTCACACGGTACAACAGAAAAAAGTACATCAGCAAGAAAAAAGAAAACTCAAAACTGAAGGACCTCAGTCACCTACAGTACCCTGGTCTCCCCAAACATTTGTCTCTATTGCCATAAGTCCCTGAACTTACACAGAGGGATACTTCTGTACAAACATGAACAGAGTTTCTACTTTTTTTGAGTGGTTACACTCGTACCCCAGATGTCCACTGGGTGCTGATGTGTGGTGTTTCAATTGACAATGGATGTTTCAAAAGCATAATTTTTGTGATTTAGAATTATACCGAAAGCATATCTACACTTGTTTGCATATTGTTGTGATGTTTGTATTGTTAACAGCAGCTGTATCAGCAAAAAGAAAACTATTACGGGCAGGGTTCGAATTATTCTGAATTAGATTGTTGTCAAATGTTGTTTCTAACTTTAGCCTTAAGTTACAGTTTAGTTAACCAATGTTATCTAGCTGCACCCTTTCATCATCAGTGTTATATTACATTTTATATTGGTGATGAAATGACAAGCTATGAGCTAATGTTAGCAAACACTGGTGCTCAGTCATGTGCAGTGAGACAGTGGCAGATTAGTTGTAGCTACGTTTTGACATCAATATAGAGTCTATTATTTCATTTGGTGTGTTGGTTTAGTTCATCTTTTACCTTTAACATTAGTTTTTATAATAGACACCCTCTTTGTCTTCACTCAGAAATCCAGTTTTACCTGGTTGGATTGAACAATATTAAAATACATGTGTGCCCAACACCAAAGTTCACTGAAGCTCTGCCTGCACTGTACTGGGTTCCCTTTCACCCTGGAGAAATAGTTGACTGCCCTGATTATCATTGTATAATTCACACTGTGATTATAGGTATTTACAGTATATGTAATCAAAATGAATTTCACACTTCAGAGACACGAGCTGCTCCTGCAGAAACAGACCTGGCATGACAGCAAATTATCTGCAGCACCTGTGACAGAGCCAGAACGAGTCACACTCCATCCAGTGGACACTGGGGGTCATACAGCAAGTGATGAATATATTCTGCATTTTGTCATTGAGTGTGGTCCTGTATCCACTGGCTGAACCTCCGTGAGTACTTGTTGGGTCTAACTGTGGAAAAAGCCCTGCCTGGGAAATGGACGCTTTTCCACAGGTTCTCCAGTTTTTTCTTCCAGTTGTAGACGGTAAAAATGTCTATGATGCCCACGAAGTAGCGATGGTCTGGCCCATCGATCACATGAATAGCATTTTTGCAGTTGGGCAGTAGTCTGTGATGATGCTCGTGGAATTCCTGCAGTACTGAGTCAGTCCTGGTCTCTTCCACAGGGCAGGTGATCTCCTGGAGGGGGATCCCTTCACTTGTGCCCTCAGCTGACCCACGGTCTGTAGTATCTGGTGCCCCCTCACCCAGTAGTGGAATGGTGGAAGGGTCTGACCCAGTGGGGCTGACATCCAAGTCCACAGACCTATAGGAGAGACAGAAAGGATTCACAGAACAAAAACATAGAGGACCAGCAGTGAACTCAGAGTATATGCTAAAAAGTGTTTTTAAGTAGTATATTTATATCTATTACTTGTCACATATGCTAGTTTTAGTATTTATCTCAAACAATCAAGCTCAATTTGCAGCCCAAGGGATGAAATGAGCAGAAACATTAATCTAAACAAGGACACTGTAAAATATACAAAGTCAAACCATTGAAGTATGAGACTTATAAACAACGCTGAAACACATCATAAGTACAAATTGTCCAGTTATTGTGCCAGCCAGGTCTCTCTCCTGCCATTTAAGATTTTGACAGTTTTTTTTGTTTTTTTTTAAACTTTAGTTATCAGGCAACCCACACAAGTCTTAAAGGGATAGTTTGGGTTATTTGACGTAGGGTTGTGTGAGGTACTTATCCATAGTCAGTAGATTTCCAGTTAAGAGAAGCAGCAGGAGCACAGGCGCAGAAGCTGAGCGATGTGCTGATGTGGACGGGGCCAGCCGCAAAAATTTATTGTAGCCGCTTTTAAAAAATGCCCACAGAAAAAAAAGCCAATGTTAGATGAAGTCTGTCTCAAATCTACTGCAGGGAGAGCACTGACTACTGTATCTCACATAACCCCAGTAAAATAACCCAAACCAACAAGGTTAGGAAAATTAGATAATAGATCCTCACTTCCTGCATCGGCTAGGTTGTAAGGGATAAGGTTGTACGTCAATGTAATGTCCTCTGAAGTCATGGAGACACTTGTGGCCTCTCTCACACACATTGTGGTAGGTAAGGTCGCCTGTTTTGGGCTTTATTTTTTTAGAGCCAAGTTTACAGAGGTAGTTTTAAGGGGTGAGTGAGTAAAGGAACCAAATCGATCTTGACCTTTTTGGACATTGGAATTTTGGCAGCTTGCTGATGCGAGAATCTAGAGAACTTTTACGAACATAACTACAAAGACTGTGGATTGGGCTCTGAGCAGTTCAAAAATTGTGGGCGACCAACAACGGTCAATTAGAGAGCTTTACAAGTGTTGGTAGGCCATTTTCTGAAGTTTGCAGAGAGCCAGGCCACGTAGATGTCTCCCCTACGCAACAATAGGGTTTGTAGTTGCTGAAAGGATGCTGGATATAAAACCTACTTTGTGGCACGAATAACAATATTTGCCAATGAGTGTTTCCCATCGAGCTCATCTTGGTGCAGTGGTTGTCGAGCCAGCAGGAGACTGTAGTCCAGCACATTAAGCTCTTGAAGAAAGGCAGCATCCGCCTTCACTTGATTGGCAAACCAGGACTTCTCTTGACCTACAGCAACCACACAAACATTCCCATTTAGTGCCCTAACCCCTGTCGAGTGCATGCAGCTGGAATTTGTTCTGCAGCTGAAAAAGAAACTTTGATTGCTCAATAGCTTCACTGATGTGACTACAGAAATAAGTAGAGGGTGAGGACACTTACCTAATACAATGCTCTGTCCTTCAAAGTTATTGTCCTTCAACACTTTTATTATTTGTTTTCCCCCTGTGTCAGGGCTCGTCCATCTACCCACCTCACAGCCTTTAATGTCGTATCTATGCAATGAAAATGCCACTTTATACAACCAGCAAGTATATCTGAATTCCACAAAGCAAAAGATGGGGAACACAAAGATACTGTACCTAATATTGATCCTCTCATCGGGGTAAAACACACTCTGCATCACAATGAAGTACTTCTGGAGAGCATTGTAAGTGCAGTGTAAGTGCTGGTGTTGTAAGGGTATAGTGGATGTAATGACCTACAGGTTATTATGTTGATGAAATACCTTTATTTGATTCGGAATGACAATCCTGTGGACACCTGGAAAGCAGAGAGAAAGATGCATATTATTAAATCACGTGTGATTTTTTTTTGGTAAGATTTCTTTCATAACCCATAATCAACAAAAGCTTTTTAACGTCTGCTCTAAAAGGACTTTAGTCCATTACATGATTCTTGTGATCAGGGACAAAGAACCTTAGAGTCCAAGAGCTGAGCAACCGCCCTGAAGCAGGTCTTCAGTCCCATGTAACAGCTACAAGATGACATTGGTCTTTTTATTTGTCTAAACACATGCAGAGCTTTAACTGATTTGAAACTGACACGTTGCACCAGAAGTGGATAATTTTGCAAGTTACCTTACAGTAGCTATACCTCATTTTTCGCTTTTACTCCCCTGTACTTTTCTTTTTACTTTCCTCTCCATGAATTGATGATGGCAGAAGGGTGTCAATCTACATAGCCACTCTTACCTAGAAATCTCACCATCAATGAATGAGGGTATTTCTCCAGGTGGTCCATATACGCCTGCAGATTGGACAGGAGGAACCTGACCTCGCGCCTGCTCTGGGTCTTCAGGAAGAACCTCTTGTCATTCCTAAAACCAAGCACAAATTTTTCATATCCAATGCCACCATTTTAAAAATTCAAGCTTTCTAATCTCGCATATTGCTAGAAAAATGCCTGTGCCAGGAGAGTCACATGCTTCAGCTAAATAATATATCTAAATCTATATCTGGATGTCACAAAATTTCCTGCAACTTAACTTAAGTGAGCCAGAGTTTGCTGTAATTGGTACCCAGCAGAAGGCAAAGCAAATCCTGCCGTGTGCTGGTGTCCTGCTGGAACACATCAAACCTGTTGCAAAGAATTTTGGCGTTTGGTTTGACAGCAACTTAAATTTTGAGCAGCACACAACAAAACTTGTGCAGTCTTGCTTTTACCATTTGAGAAATATATCCAAAATTCTATATATGTCTATCGATCAATATTCAACCTATTTTATCTTTTAAAGACACAGAGACCAGTTTACAAGCTTTTGTCTCCTCTCGACTTTTCACCTGCCTCAACCACAAATCTATGAATCGGCTCCAGACTGAAAAGGACTTTTAACAGGATCCAGGAGAAGTGACCACATTACACTGGTTTAAGTACGTTTAGAGATGATTTTAAGACCCTGCTCTTGAATTTTAAAGCTCTTCATGTCCTCTTTCCATGCTTTATATCTGACCTCTTAACAGCTTATGAACCAGCTCTTGGCCTGAGATCCTTGGGCAGAGGTCTCTTAGTTGCTCCTGAGGCAAAGCTAAAAAACCAGAAGTGACAGAGGTTTCACAGTCAGAGCCTGAAACTGTGGAACGAGCCACCTGAGGAAATCAGCAGAGTCACCGACCTCTTTTAAATCTCCCCTTAAAACAAACTTTTATCGTAGAGCTTTTCCCAATTTTACTTCATTTTATTGACTTCTTTTGCTTTTACTGACAACTTTTCATCTTTTGGTTTTATTCATATTCACTGATCACTCTCTTGCTGGTGACACTTCCTTTGGTTTATCTGCACTAATACTAAGACATTTTAATTGGATTTCTGATTGCTTGTTTTCACTCTTGCCTTATATGATGTTTTATTATGCTGCCTTGTGTAAAGCACTTTGTAAACGTGGGTTTAGAAAAGGGCTCTAAAAAGTGACTATAAAGGTCAGTTACAGTTAAATCCTGGTGCCATGTTAGAAAATGTAAAAACACAGAGGGTGTTTCTTACCTCCACGAGCTTTAACTATTCTATTTATCTATCTATCTATTTTTATATTATCTATAAAACACATTTCATTCCCCAAGCAAGCCACTGAAGCTTTTGTCTGTACCACCCAGCAGCCAGTCAATTCTGGTGCTGACTTTCGTGGATGTGGGGCAGGTACAGGACCAGGGCAGTCTCCCATTTTTTCAACGGTTTTCAGTAACATTTCTTTTTTCCCTGCATATAGGACGAGTAGTTGTGGTATTAATGACTGGTCGGCCTTTTCTGGAGGTGCCATGCACGGCACAAAAACCACTTATTGTCAAACAGTATTTCACATGCTGTTTCTGCCCAAACTCCACACTACTTCCTTCATTGTCCCTAACTGTTGGAACTAGACATCCCTTGGAAGGTACAGAATCACCCAATTCAGATAAACCTCCTGGGCATACTGGTCTACAACTGAGACATGTATGTGAATATCTTTATATTGTTTTTGACTGGAAGAGTGAGGACATTTTGGGTGTTAGCTTTGTTAGTGTAGTTAGAAATCAGAGTCAGGATGAAAGAAGGTTAAAGGGTCAGCCGACGAAAGGTGTGATGGTGCTCACGTGACAAAGAAATCCGCCTTGCTTTTGGAGTTGCTGACGAACTGGAGGTAGCAGCCACCTAAGCAGAGGGAGTTCATGTATTCCTCCTCTGTGATGTCCAACGAACGCCTGAGTTTAGCAAACACTGGTGCGGCAAACGTCTGTATCTCAAACCCCTGGAAGGTAAGGGTTAAACAGAAGCCTTGAAAATTTCACATAGCGCTTTGCTTTCATTTGCTTTACAGGAACTCATAGACCAACAAAGAGTATTTGTGAATATATGATCATAATTGACAACAGTATCCAAGTACTGAAAATAATGTGAAAATAAACACTTGCCTCATGGGTTTGAGTTTCCTCCGCTTTGAAATGTTCAGCTGTGAGTGTATCCTGCGCAAAGAAGTTCATGAGCGAAATTACATCTTCAGTGTTTCACGTTTACAATTCACCCACTGCCCTCAAATGAGAAGAATGTTCACCTGGCCTGCTGTGTCCACAGAGGCCTGAGTTAAAGCACGCATGCCGTCTTTCATCACGGATGTCAGATGGTAGAACTCGTGCTCTGGGTTGATCTCAAACACCCCTAGCATCCTCCATCGTCGTCTCAGCTGCCACCAGTATCTTCGCCTGGCTGCTCCGGAGGTGCCAGCAGCTGTTGTCTGGGCCATCTGTCACACCAGGTGAACAACAAGACCATCAGCTGCAAACTCAGTTACAGACAAACCAAACCATGTGAGTTTAACATGAGTCTTGGATATCAGTCGGACTACAGGTACAGTATATGTTGGACATTAGTGTCTTACACACGCACACACACACACACACACACACTTCAGACATACAGTATGCTGTACAATAAGAGAGAGCAGGCTTCTAAGCTCAAAAGTTAGGTGTTCTTTCTTTCAAGGTGATCCTCAAAAGCTAAATCACACAACTATATATTCAGGTAGCTCTTACCTGGACGTTCTTGCTTGGGTCTGCCCACACACTGCGTCTGAAATAAATCTCGCCTTTGTGTATGTAATGTTTCCTCCCATTCTAACTAGTGCCACATTCCAGAGCGGTTAGACAAGCTCTGCAGGGTGTGGCAAATACAAAAGCAAAGGTGTGTGTGGCATGGGAATTTACTCACTGTACTACAAGGAGGAAACCCTGAGGACAGGAAAACCCTCTGCCCCCACCACTCAGACTAGTTCCAGGTCCCATACCTGTTTATCCAGAGTCATAGAATATGAACCGTTTGTGTGAAATTTTGTCATAAATGCTGTGTCTCAGGTTAGGGCTAAAAAGTGTTTTGTGCGGTCACAGTGACCTTGCCTTTGACCTAGAATCTAATCAGTTCGTCCTGTTTATGGAGTTATCACAATCACAAGGCCAAAACTATGATTTGTGAGATCACCGTGACCTTGACCTTTGACTTGTGACCACCAAAGTCTAATCAGTTCGTCTAGGAGTCCAAGGCAATGTTTGTACCAAATTTGAAGAAGTTCCATCAAGGTGTTACTGAGATATCATGTCCACAAGAATGGGACGAATGTACACTTAATCCTATGCATGGGTAGACAGGAAAATGGAGTGATTAACGGATACACATAAAACCTTCTCATCAAGACTGTCACCCTTTATTACAAACTGAACTGAAAAATATAAACAATTGTTATGGGTATGTAATGATTGCATTGCTCAGTCATCCCTTTGACTCAACAGTTTCACTTTCCAATATCCCTTTAACTTCCTCCATTTCTTCCTTTTTCTTCCAACAAGCCTGTTTCCAAGAGTCAGAGACGCTTCTTATCCAGACTGTTGAATTGTGAGCTCAGTATATTGAGTGGTGAAGATCAGCACGGGTTCAGTTTGTCATGTTAACATACATGAGGAGAAACTAAACACACTAGTCCCATCAGCTGTTTTATTTTCATTTTATTAAAAACTTAAATACAGATAATTTACTTCTTATATACATGTGAAGACAACTTCAGTAAAGAGAACAGAAACCAAAGACTGGCCATTGAGAGCATGATCACATAAACCCACTTATTGCATCAACATGACAAAGCCATGATGGTGAACCACTGCTTCATTTCTAAAGACAGTGTTTCCTCTTCAGTGCAGAGTGCTACAGTTTGGATGTGCTGTGGAGTCTTGTTGAGCTCCAAGTAGAGGATTGACTGGAAGCCGTCGTCGTGCTCACAGCTCCTTTCTTCTCGTACCTGAATCAATAAGGGACACTGTTAGTGAAAAGCAATGGAAACCTGAAACACTCACAGTAGTGTTTCATACTGGAGATCCTGAGCATCAACACTGTGTCGTGTCGTCTGACGTTTGTGATCTTACTTGTTTTTGTTTTTCTGAATGAGTCTTCCAAGTGGTGACTGTGGATTCACACATTTCTCCTTATTTCCTGTTATGGTGATACTGGGGGAGAAGAAAGAGCCGTGTTAGAGAGAAGCTGAAGAACGATACGTCAGTAGATGTGCTTTATTTCAGCTCTTTTACTCACATAATCTCTGTATGTGGACAGAAGACACTTGGCTGGTGTATGACTGGCTCTGCCTTGATGAGCTTCGGGCTGATCCTGCCGATATAATCGTTTGAACACTTGCATCTACTAGATCTGCTGGCTGGTTGTCCTGTGGGAAGAAAAGACAGGAGCTTGTTAACTGCTGATCCAAACCTGAGACAAAACAGATCATGATCATGAATGAATCACACAACAATAAACTTTTACAGTACCTTGTGCACAGAGGACGAGCAGGCAGGTGAGAGAGGCAACGACAGCTGAATTCATAGTTGTGGCTGTAGACAGGTTCTGGCTCTCACTGCAGTGTCTTTATTCAGTCTGGACTCCTGATGGTGTGCAGCACATGGGATCTCTCTTTTATACACTGGGTAACATCCACACAGGGCTGCTGGTTACCATGACGCAACAGTTTCACTTTCCAACATCCCTTTCACTTCCTTCGTCTCTTCCTTTTTCTTCCAGCAAGCCTGTTTCCAAGAATCAGAGACGCTTCTTATCCAGACTGTTTGTCTCAGAGAAACATTTCAGTCTACAGAGTGGCTTCGCTGTAATAATGTCTACATGAAGAAGAAGAGTCTCTGACAGAATACATTTCATTAAGATCAAAATCATCATCAATATACTTACACACCATGAAACATAGTCTTATCATTCGTGAGGAAAAATGTGTTTTCCACACGTATTCTCGTCCCAACAGTTCATTTGAAGCTACAGTTCATTCAGAAAGTTCTCAGCCTCCTTCCTTAATGTTGAAACTTTATTCTAAAATCATTTAAATTCATTTCTCCTGCATTCTCATAAAGAAACATTCCCGCATACTGCAGCTGACATTTGGAGATGAACCTGTGAAAAACAGCATCAATACAACAATAGAACCGTCATGATGAACACAATAAGACTTCTCAAAACTCACATGGATAAACAATATATATGTTAACAAGGTAAAGGAGATGCAGCAGGATTGACTTTACTTACATAATGAAGAGAAGAACACAGTGGTACTGTACTGTATCAGGTGCACGGTTGAAGCTGAGTCAACAAGGTGAAGGAGATTCCAGCACTTGAACAGTCTTAATATTTAATATGGGGCAACAGTGAACATGTTTCAGCTGTAAGCATCATCACTGTAAGAAACAGTGGTGAAACACACAATATATATATAAACAGCTGAGGTTAGATCATGATTGCTTAATGAGAAACACCTGTGAATGGACCACCAGAGGGGGAGTGGCTACATGACATCAGCAACAGAACAACAAATAGCAAACTCTTATATGAACCTCCACCGTGTCACTGCTGCACAATGAGAAGTAGTGAGCACAGTTTATAATAAAAAGAGGTTCAACAGCAAACTCTTACGTAACTTACGGTCAAAAGAATTTGCAGCACACACAAGGCATTTGAGGAACAGGCTATAGAGATGTGTAATCACTTCAGGTAGAGAGGCTACAGTGATGATTTGGACAGAGTAAAAAATGTACGATCCTCCCTGATATCTTTCATCTCATTTGACGGGGGGAATTTCCCATGTTTGGGCTGTGCCCAGTGTCATGCCATGGTCAGACATGTTTTTCTACACCCCCACAATGGTAAAAAGTTCATCATCAGGAACAGGATCTCTTGCAGAACCAAATAAGCAGTTTATCTTTTAAAATGTCTGTGTGGGTTGGTTTGTATTGGCAAAACTAAACAAGACTTAAAAATGAGGATTTCTGAACATAAAAGAAATATTAGAAATAAAGATGAAAAATCACCTGTGGCCAGGTATTTCCATGCAGCCGGCCATGATGTACGTTCCCTTACATTTCAAGGCATAGAAGTGGTTCCTGTCATGAACTGAGCTGACGGGCTGTGGACCCATAAAGCAGAGCTGAGGCAGACGGTTAGCAAAAGACAGTTTAATCCAGAAAAAGGGTCAGTACACAGGGAGTCAGTCAAACCGGGCAGAAGTACAAAATCGCTAGGCTAAATACAGGAACCAGGAATCAGAATCTTAGAGAATGCACGAGGGGTCAAAACACAAGGAAAATGGGCCGGAACGCTGTGACAAGAAACGCAGACGATCTGGCAAAGACACACTGGGAGAGGAGGGGTATAAATACACACAGGGAGAGGGGATAATGAGACACAGGTGAAGACAATGAACAATCACACACACAGGGAGTCAAGACACTGAGAAGAAACACAAACAGGAAGTGAGGGGATCCAAATAAAATAAAAGAGGAAGTGGAAAAACTAAACAACTTGACGGGACCTGACAGTTCCTCCCCGCTGCAAATTCTTTTGACCGTAAGTTACGTAAGAGTTTGCTGTTGAACCTCTTTTTATTATAAACTGTGCTCACTACTTCTCATTGTGCAGCAGTGACACGGTGGAGGTTCATATAAGAGTTTGCTGTTTGTTGTTCTGTTGCTGATGTCATGTAGCCACTCCCCCTCTGGTGGTCCATTCACAGGTGTTTCTCATTAAGCAATCATGATCTAACCTCAGCTGTTTATATATATATTGTGTGTTTCACCACTGTTTCTTACAGTGATGATGCTTACAGCTGAAACATGTTCACTGTTGCCCCATATTAAATATTAAGACTGTTCAAGTGCTGGAATCTCCTTCACCTTGTTGACTCAGCTTCAACCGTGCACCTGATACAGTACAGTACCACTGTGTTCTTCTCTTCTCATCAGTGCAACTGGGTGCACCTGGCCAGCACATCCACAACACATTTAAGACCATCCATCCCCATTATCCATCCCCACCATACAACACCACCCTTTCATACATCCACTCTGACCTACTGATTACCCATTTCATACCTTCAGTTTTTGTGTTTGGTTTTCCTTTGTGAAAAATGATTTATTCTTCATGTCAAGTTAAATTATGTGTTTCTCTCTCTGTCATGGCCAAAGAGCCGAGTCATGACAGAGCAAATCCCTGCAGCCAGGTTCCAGGTTGTTTGTTCGTCCACATACTTTTGGCCATGTACAGTATAGAACATATAGACTGCAGATACAATGACATCACATTTAGCTGGTCTGATGTAAAATATACCTGTCTGTCATCTTACTGTGAGCTCAGTATATTGAGTGGTGAAGATCAGCACGGGTTCAGTTTGTCATGTTAACATACATGAGGAGAAACTAAACACACTAGTCCCATCAGCTGTTTTATTTTCATTTTATTAAAAACTTAAATACAGATAATTTACTTCTTATATACATGTGAAGACAACTTCAGTAAAGAGAACAGAAACCAAAGACTGGCCATTGAGAGCATGATCACATAAACCCACTTATTGCATCAACATGACAAAGCCATGATGGTGAACCACTGCTTCATTTCTAAAGACAGTGTTTCCTCTTCAGTGCAGAGTGCTACAGTTTGGATGTGCTGTGGAGTCTTGTTGAGCTCCAAGTAGAGGATTGACTGGAAGCCGTCGTCGTGCTCACAG